ATGTGGATAGATGCACGTTCTTTGATAAGTCAGGTGCAGAACAGACCCATCCCTTAGGAGCTCACACATTCTCTCATCTGCTTTCCTCAGCATTACCTTATTATTTTCTGCCATGGATGTGACTGATTAATTTTGTCACAGTGCCTCTGTTTGTGCTGTGCTGTTTGGACCTGCCCTTTTCTGTAATGTCTGATCAAAACCTATTAAGCTTGATGCTTTCCACTACAGCTACATGGAGCTTCAGTAACATCTACCTTCCTGGCTGAGTGCTTCTTCCTCAGTGGTACACATACACAAAGCCTCAATGTAGTAACTTACTGTATATTACATCTAGACATATAGTTAACTCTCATATTTGTGCCCTTGTTTTATAGTCAATCTACTATCCAAAGTGGATGTCAAAAACTGTACAATCAAACCACTCTTGCTGTCAAAATGTGAACCATGCAGTTATATAATGTGCCCCTCTGTCCTTCCTAATCAGGACACACTAATGATTTCCCAATTGTGACTTAAATAGGCCTGTTTTTCTCCTCAAATGGTTTTGTTGCCAAAAATGAGTGCTTTTCAAGTTCCCCTCTGCCACCAGGATGATAATGCAAGTTGTCATTTTTTTATATATCACTGTACACTGAATATATTAAAGAGTCCTCCGTCATAATTAAAAATATAGGCAAGATGTTAAAAAAATAGCACTGCTGTAGCAAATGCAGGAAAGCAACGGCCGCTTTAGTAACAGAGAATTTTCAAACAAATTTCAGTAATCAACACAGTTTGATCATACTTTGAAAATAAATCATTATGTTCATTAAAGAATGAACTGTACTGAAACAAAATTCTTGATTGTTGCAGGTCACATACAAAACGTCTGTTATTAATGACTATATACAGTAATAGGAATTAGTTTCTGGGAACATTAGTAAATTTCCTAAACCGATTTTTCTCAGCTCAGCTGGATTGCTATGATTAAAAACAATATTAGAAACAGCTACTGAATACCTATTAATGTAGTATACATACATTTGAAGAACACAATTATTACTATAACTGATAATTTAATAATCTGCACACGTGTTCACAGATGTGTTGATAGAGTCACCAATGTTTAATCAAACGTTTACTAAGATTTTAACAGCTAGATTGTCGTTTCCATATCAAGAAGTAATTGTATTCTCTTATATCTACAGGCGAGGTCACAACATGTATCCACTGTTCAGTTAATAATGGTGTACTTGCTGTGTTAATTTATTGGTTTAGTAACATTATAAAAAATACCATACCGATTTGGCAACGTAGTCCTCATTCTTCATGAGAGCTAATTAAAAGGAAAGAATGCATTTCCAATAATTTCAAACTTGTTGGCAGTATTTTAACACTAAGTTATATACCATTACAGTATATACCATTTGGAGTATTTGGTCCCTGAAAGTGATAAAACACAGCAGTCAGTGTCAAAATATTAAAATCCTGTCTGGAGACAAACGTTTGCACATACTGTTGTCTATGCTCCAGGTATTACTGTATATGATGCAGCTAAAATTATCTGCACTTTCAGAGAACAAAACCTATCTGTATTTAGGTTTGAAACCCGAAGAAGGCTCCACGGCCGAAATGTTGTGTTTTCTTTCTTCTCTTTTCAGCATGGAATAAACCAATTACTTGTTCCTATCTGTATTAATAGTATATACATATCCATATTGTTTGAAGGCATTTTCAGTTAAATGTGTGTGCAATCAATGTCTCCAAATCCTGTTACAACAACTCTGGAACTGACTTCTGACATATTGTCACTACTCCTTATTTCAGTACAGCAGTTATAATCGTATGAATCACTTTCACATGTGAGGTACACTACAACATTTTGTAGGAAATTCAAGTTCTTTACTTTGAGCTTCACATAGGTCACAGCAGCTAATCTACGCAGGCACAATCACATTTTCATACTATCATGTGTTAAATCTAAAAAACTATACCTAGACAAGTACATACTCTTCTTGTGTTGTCATTATCTTTGCCACCATCTGAGGTCTGACAATTTGAGCCTCCTTCAGATTTGCTGCTGCAGTTGCAGTTCTGAGAAACACCAATATCAGATTTCTGTTCTAAACCACATCACACAGTGTTGTTCCAAAAGTGCTTACATACGTGTTCATTACCTAAAATCACCCTAATTCAAATGCAAATTAGCGCCTGAAAAAATAATTATATCCAATGCTAAATAGCTACAAATGTTACTGATTACTTAACAATTTTATCAATCAGCACAAAGGTGGAAATCATATTAGCATAATGTCCTAAGGATATACAAATATTGTCCCATTGCAAATTGCCAGAATAGTTGCTAATTTATTTGTAAATGAACAAATCATTAATTTGTTTAAATTGTCTAAGCTTTAAATTGTCGTCATTTTAACTCCCCGTTTTAATTTCAAGAAACCAGAGGCAGCTTCTTAAAACAGCTAGGTTTATTTCTTGAAAAGAGACAAGCCTCCAGTGTTACAAAATCAAAAGAAACATTTAAACTAATTTTCCTCTTATCATCGGAACATTTTATGCAACACTTTACCAAAGTATTCATCTGGTCTTCACACTAGGGAAATAACAGGTTCTAACTTACCTCAGTGGTAAAGTTTCATGAATACAGCCCTAAGAACACAATGGTCCAGACAATTTTTCTACCTGTTTAATTAAGCTGTTGAGGTATTTGTAATGAAGTGGAAAAAAAAAACACTACAACATGTAGAACAAAATGCAGCTGAAATTTCCACTTGAGAGAACACATTCACCAAGAAAGTGGAGACTTGCCCTTGACTCTTTTATTAACAGCTTTCCAGTATAGTGTAACTTCAGAATGAGCTAGATCCTTTTCACAACAGTCTTATAAATTATTCTGCTCATTAAAAGCACCAAGTGACGGAAGGACTTTTCAATCACTAGGATTCTAGAACAAGTGACAAGTAAAGCACAAGATACTGTCCCATGTTTCTCACACAAAGAAATGTATCCTTCATATTTGATAAGAGTCAATCCACAAAGCAACATGATACTGAGCTGCCTATCAAAAAGAGAAATACACATCACTATGCACTCCTCATAAAATATCAGGATTATGTCCATATAACTGGACAAACAAAGGGAAATGTCTATGATGCAAACTAATCCTACAACCACAATGTCTGTATTCTAAAACAGATTAAGTTCCATTTTTAAACTTATGACAATATACTGTATGTTAAGAGTAAAGAGCTCCAAAATCTGTTTGTAGGCAAATTGTACTATTGGAGTCACTACAAAGAACCTGAACTGTAGGATGGAAAACACCAGGATATGAATGAGAAAGAAGTAAGCGACACTTGGATGAGAGGGAATTTGTTGTGTGGCTAGAGAACACTTCTTTTTTCTGAGAAAATTGTGTCTATATTGCACTTAGTCACAGCTACAAATCAAAAGGCTGACATTAATTGTTAGGCTTAACAATTAATAGGTTTTAGGTAATTCCCATGAAGCAAAACAAAAAGCTGTCCCATGGCCTTGGGAATTCAAAATAAAGCAAAAACACCTCCAACGTTCTGCAAGGTGCAGTGTGTCAGAAATACTTGAGGACAAAAACTAGATACAGTAGAAATGCAAAGACAACAGGACAAAAAAGTAGAGTATTACAACAAATACAACAGGTCTATTGTAATTACCAATTAATACCTCAAATCAAATTAATTTTATTTAAAAAAAACAACAAACTAGGTACTATATAAATTGGCTACTGGTGGCCCCACATTTTACACTTCTGTGGATAAACAGTGTATGGATGAGGTTAACTGAAAACATATGGAAAAGTCTGATCAATTTGTACTTTTCAAGAGTATTCAAGCACTTTTTTAAAAAAAGCAGCAGACATTTTTTTTAAACACAGCAGACATTTTTTTAAAACAAAGTGTGAAGAGTGATAAACTAGAATTTTGCATCCACTCATTTAAAAAAAAATAATGTTAAAACCTAGAGAATGAAATAATATGAAACAAAGAATACAGGCATGTTAAAACCTAGAGAATGAAATAATATAAAACAAAGAATATAAGCATTCTAGACCTGACATTGCTTTTGCCTACACCATTTATCTCTACTGCACCTTGTGTTATAGATTAATACAATGTGTCCCTGAATCTGAGAACTGATGGTTTTCATTGGATCTCTTAATGCACCTGAACAATTGTTTATTTAATCTCCCCACCGAAAAACAAAAACTAACATTATATAGGATGTCAAAATAGAGAGCATCATAGAGTTTGCAATTGCTCCTGTTGTTGACTTCTGCTGTATGACTGATTTAGATATTTAGACCTTGATTTGGGTCAGTATTAAATAATAAGATAATTGAAAATATGAGAGAGGAAAAACTCCACTGCATAGTCATTAGGAAAAAATAAAAGCATAAGGCAATTCAGTTTTGATTAAGTAGTGCACCAGTTATTTGGTTTAGAAACAAAAAACACATTTATAATACAACAGTGCAACCTAGATTCAACCCCATTCAACCTAGTGAGTAAATGTTTCCATATATAATTACAGGGTTCACAAACATATACATATTTTTCTCATTAGTGTGGTCATTAGGAACTGAAACATTTTTCTTCTCTTTGATTTTTGAGTTGAAGTCGGCTCCGAGTCTATACACCATGAAATGACGTAACAGTGAAGTATCCACAAATCCGTCCTGTTATTATTGTGAAATTTAAAAATTTGTTATTCAAATTTATTCTGAACGTTTTCTAAAGAACCCCCCGTCAAACAGGAACATCCATCTAACGGGAATAAATCGCAACCTGAGCCGTGTTGTTATAAGGTGGTCTTGTATCATGGTTACGTGGCAGAAGTTTCATGGCGGCATGTATTAGAAATAAAATACATGTATGTATTAGAAATAAAATAATAAAAAAGTTAGGGGAATCAGTGTGGAGAAGGCAATCGACTTTTGGCAATTCTGAAGGACGATGGCCACTGACCGTAGTCTTCCAGGGATTTCAGCGTGACGTCTGCATGGGTGGAGCCGAAGGCATTGCGGACAAACCGCCGTCTTCTCCTCAGGTCATCCTCCCAGTAGTCCAGACGCCAGAAATCGTGCAGCAGGCTGCGTGAAAGACACACGGGTCGCGTTAGCAGAGTGACCTCTTTTTGCACACTTAACCTGAAAGAGGAGACTCACTGTGATAACCTAGCAATTTCTTGCACATATTGAGGACCGTAGTGACCTGCAAGTAGCTCAGAGAAGCTTCTATCAAACAGTGGTACCAGCAGCTCAGGATGTAAATCACAGCGAGTTCAAGTAACAAATACAGCATCAAATTACAAGTATAAATGGCACAGCTTGCTTTCTTTTTTACTGTGTTTTTAACAAGTCTTGTAAATCAAAGGCGGCAACCTCAACGCAGACAGCATGCAGTTTAATGATGGTGGGGGTCTCTCCGCAGAATAAAGCATGGACTATAAAATACTGTCCCACTTGCATATGTGGAGCCAATGATTAAAATAATGTGCTGAAATATTCATTGAATTGATTCCCAAGGCCCCTGGAGCAACCCAAAAGAAAATTGCATTTTTATTCATTATTAATAACACTGAATTAGAGCTAAAAAAAAAAGAGAAAAGTTTCAGCATGTGGTAACCATCTTTGTAAATTATTATTCCAACATTAGCGAGGACCTTGGATAATTTTATTGCTTGGAGCTAATGCAAACCATTAAGTGCCAGTGCTCGCATCAGGTTACTAAGTGCTTCTTTTTTCAAGTGTTCTTTAGCTGGAGAAATTTCAAAGGCTTTTGTGTTTCCTCAAGAAGGGCCTGTGCTGAAAATGCTGCAGTTAATTTACTGAAAGTGAGTTAAAAAAACAAGTAAAAGGAGAGTGATGATTAAAATACTTTAAGGCAGATGACACAACAATGCAGTACAAGTACAGCATGTGGTCTATCTTCATCAGCAGCAGTGGTGAGGAATTTGTGCTGATGAAAAGGAAATAGATATGTCAGTTGGATTTTTTTTTCCTTATAATTTCATGTTTCAATGAATGAAATACTAGTTTCATGAATACAGCATGCTGTATAGTTAAATAAAGAGTCCTTTTCATTAATACTGCAGTAGAACATATAATAAATTTAGAAACACGCCGTTCTGTTCACATAAGGTATTTTACCCAGTTTCACTCTTAGGATCTATTTCTACTTCATTTTCAAATCAAAGCTAACAAAGGCCCGAAAACAAACAAAAGAAAGATTTTACTGCCAATTTCTTAAATTCTTCGTTTCAGGATGAAACGTTTCAGTGTGTTACAAATACGTACAAATTTAAAATATAGCAAAAATATTCATGTTTTTAAAGTCTGCTCACTGCTAATAGCTAAAGCTATTATGAGGAATGTTAATAAAATGGAATTCCCCTGGAAAAAAATGCAATTTGCAACAGAGCAAATCTATGCAACTCCATCTAGAACACAATTCTTTCTTTAAATTGTTCACACTCTAGTGAAGTTCCTTTTATTGACAGCACTAACTCAACACCTTCACAGTTTATTGCAGAGCTGATTTTTATTTTAACAATTCATAAAGTACCAGCATTTACACAAAAGATATCCGTTTCCCCCAAGCAAATTGTTATATCTCACTGTATTTGCAGGCGTGAAGAAAATTCGAGTGCAGATTTGACATGCTGAGCAGAATTAAGTCCTTAGCTCCCAGCCACGGATTTCATTGTATAGCTTTTTCCAGTATAATATTCAAGCAGTTTAAACAGATTAAAGTGTTATAAGGGATCACATTACAAAAGCTACCACCTCATTCCTTGAATATTATATCTACAAATGACAGAAATCACAAGACTCCAGAGACTTAACACACAGCTCACAACGGATATAGCTGATCTTCAGTTTAACATCAATCATGTGAGTATGTGTCTGTATGAACAGGCCCACTGCTAAAAGTTTATATATGAAAAGCTTCAACAACCGAATGCTGTCCTCCGTCATTTTCATAAAGCTTGCAGGAGAAAAAGAAAGATGTCAAGTAACTGAAGGGTGAAACCCACTTAAATGATATTGTAACTGTGAGATTACACAGAGAAAATGTAAATCTGATGCAGGCAAAGAACAGATTATATCACCTCACTATAACTATGACTCCAAAACAGATTCATTCTACGGGACTGGTAAAAATGTAAAGGTAACTGTTGAACCTGCTAATAATATAAAAAGCAAATCTATTAATCCTAAAAAAAAGTTATAAAATAGAAATGTTCGGTAAGTGATGTTTTGTAATAACGGTTTCTGAAAAACATAATATTCTTGACATGTTGATTGCAAGAAAGGGAACCAAAGCCATTTTAAGAATTTCTTATTTGTTTGGGAACATTATTTATGCCTTAGATAGGGTACTAGAGTAAAATACTCATTAGAAGCTAATATCATTCTTGGTGACTTTTTTTTTTAAATCAATGATTATAGGAAAGACCCTTTACTTTCAAACAAAAACATTTTAGAACTGGCACTCCGGTCCACCACTATGGATGAAAAACTTAAACTAACTCTTAAATTATTCACTTTCACCTTTTGTTTTAAACCTTTTCAGGGCATGAGCTTTTGCTGTGATGTATTTTCTAAAAAGGACCTATGAGTTTTAAACCCTGTGGTCAACGTAGTTGAATTTTTACAATGCCAGATTTGCAAATTATAAAGTACTCCACATCTAGGGTGGTCTTGACAGAGGTTTAGAGAACCGTGTAGAAACCATGTTAAAACCAGGCAGGGAGAAAGAGGCAGCGTATTAAAGCTATTAGGATGTGCTTGGAGCCATGCCTGGAGAGAATTCATTTCTCATTTGCCTGCCCCTAAGGCCAAGCTCCTGCACTGGGTCAACTTAAACATGGCACTGAAGAAGTCCAGCCCTGTGCATGCTGTTTGTCATTCAGTGTTGGCAGTTTTTACTGCTGTTCTAAGCATCCCTTCTCAGGCAAGGATTTTCTGTGTGAAATTCCCATAGAAAACTAAGAAAGACTGTATGGGGCAAAAAAAACACAAGAGTGCTCCTGGGTTGCATACTGACAGATAAAAGTCAGCAAAATTAAAAACATTTAAAATATTTACAGGATAATATTCAAAATGTCATCTCCAATTTAATGGTTGATATAAGAAGCGGACCTAATGAAACTATTTGTATCATAGTGATGCTTTAATGTATTTTTTGTATTAACATAGTCACTAAAAAGGGTCATGCTGAACAGTGTGTACTGAACAGTATACTGTGCTTCCAAAACCAACAACAAAATATACTTCATTCCTAATCCAGATTATACCAAAAAATAAACACAATTAACAAAAGACTATATAAACAACCCCCTTTTAAACTATAGTATATGAAAGATTAAGAAAAAAGTATAGTTTTCATACAATTTTAAGCTGTAACCTAGTTTCTCAAAGTCAAGTTCTTCAAGTTAATGTTTATACTTGAATAATGAATATTTATGTTATTAGGCCACATCTGTCATTTTGAAATAAAGTACAAATCTTAGTTATGGTTCCTTTAAAGTTTTTCTTTAATAAACAGTGGAAACTTCCCTTGAAGAGCTTGGTTTTGGGAAAACAGGTCTCATATATGCTCAGACATCCTGCTTACACTCTAAATCCTAGAAGTGAGCACTGAGACATAGGGTTGCTTCATTTACATCGACAATACTTTGATAAATAAGGGGAAACTAAGACCTCATAAGCAAACATCTTAATCTTAGTGCTTGGTAATAACAGAGTATTGTATACTGGTTAAGGACAAGGGCCTTGTAACATATTTAAAACACCATCACTTCTCTTAGTCTTCCATTAGAGGTGATTATTTCTGAATATCTGTAATGGAGCAAACATTGAATTTCAAAGCCCCATAAATCACGTCCTTCATAGCTCACCAATGACAGACTATTCATCAGTGCAGCAATCTGTACGAATAATTAGCTCCCTTGACTTCCACACTCTACTTACCAATTGTACACCATGACAAAAAACGCGGAAGCCAAGCGTCACGGAAAGCAGACAAAATTTATTAGTCACATCGCCCATCAATCACTGAAATGGATTTCAAACTGCATTTTAAAAGCTAATTTTCCAACGCTGATAACGAAAACTATCAGTAAAGGGTACGTGGCCACTTTTATTTATTGCCGCCCTTAGCTCCTAAAGTGCTTTGTGATAAATGTGGAAAAAAATCTGAACATGTTACTGTGCATTTAAATATTTTTTCTTCAGCTGCTGTTCTTCTTGTTTGCTTTGCAGAATGGAATTCCACACTTCCCTCTGTAGGGAGATATATAAGCAATATCTCTGATTAATTTTACAAAAGCAGAAACATTTAACAGCATGAGCCAAAATAAAATAAGGATAATTTAGAAGAGATTTCATAAAATTTCTGGGAAAAAATCAAAACATCGCAATAGCTTTTGGATTTGACTATCAATACAGTGGACAGATTGACATAGTGGAATTATTAAAATACAAATGTGGACCTAATGAGAAATCCTTTAATTTATGTAGGGGAGATTTTGTTAAAGAGATTACACAGGTGATATAGCAGTCACAATATTTATGAAGCCCATATCATTCAGCCCATGCACTGTAAAACTGAGACCAAAAGACATAGGGTATTCAGGTCAGACCTACTATGTCTCCACATGCTACATGGAAATATTTATTAGCACTGAATTTAAAAAAGAAGATGAATTTACAGCTCAGTGCTGACTCTTTTTAGTAGAATGGCTGACATCTGACTGCAAACACTTGTTTAACACTAGACTTTGTGTCAGCACCAGTCAACAAAGCTCACCGCACTCAGACAGCTATTCATTCCCGTACAAATGAAATATTTAAGCATTTTATTATGCCTTCTCTTCAACAGCTGCGCTCCACTAAGCACACCAAGGTCATTTTTTAAAGAATACAAATGATCAGATTGATGAATTATTAAGTCACAAAAGCATCTGTGTGGACCCCAGCACTGTATACCATCCTTGGGGCCAAAGCCCTTCCAGTTTCACAGGGCCAGGCATTCAAAGTGCAGTAGCACAGCCCAGACATCAAACTTCTCACAAGGTCATAACGCA